CAGCTTATCAGAAATAACTATACATGTGCATCCAGTGTCTCATAAAATGTAGATACATTAAGTCATTAACTGTTCCTACCAGAATGATGCTTTGTCAATACAGTCATTAAACAACTTCCAACTTTTTGGACCTACTTAGAGACAATCTTTGGGACGTTTATGTCCCTTAACACCACACAAATGACAAACATGGAATAAAAGAAAGTCATTTACTTTCCACATAGGCTTGATTTCTTAAGGTCTGATGAACCCTGCCCTTAGGTTCGAACCCTTTAGGTCTTTATAGGAATTGTGACCTCACATACAGGTCACAGCCTCAATCCACTTCCTCACTTAATCTGGTACGTTTTCTCTAATGAATGTTCATATCTGTGAGGAAGACTGTCAGGAAACTGGTCTAGCAACTATGAAGTCTCTAAGAGATTTCATAACTGTGATCCATTCCTGAACTCTCTGTATCCGAAAGTCGAACAAATGAAAGAGTTTTACCTGTAACTGCTGCAGTTCAGGCCAGGCTGTAAGGGTGGCATACCTAAAATCTTTCCGTTGAATTAGTGTTTTTTGATAGCTTTAAAATGCCTTCTCCAGTAGTTATAATTACATATAAAATCTCCTGCACAAAGGTTGCATAATGATTCAAAGCGGTACCAGAAAATAACATGTCCTAACTGGTAGCCCAGGTCCAGCAGGTCATTCACGAAGGGTAGCGGTATTTTCGAAACCTGATAATGTATGAAGTTTTATGTCTTCCCCCTCTGTGAAGGGAGGTAATTTTAGGTTTGGAATATGTGCAATAGGCTTCATGATGTTCAATTTTCTCCTTCCTCAAGTGTTGTGTATAATCGTTAACATTTTATTCACTAATTCAAGCGAGTTTTCGAGCTCGTGATCCTTTCTCTCTCTATTAACTCAAGTTCTCTAGCTTTTTCTCACGTTCTCTACCTTTTGCCTCAACCTCTCTATCTTTGCTCTTTCCTCAAGTTCTCCTTATTTTAGCCTGTTTCCTCACGTAATTTTTCCTGTTCCTGCTTGTATTTTAGGCCTGTCCTCACGTTCTCTAGCTCTTTCCGACACGATCAAGTCTATCACGCTCCTTTTTGGTCTTCCTCTTCCTCTTTCTAACCGTCTTTTATTGATTTCTCTCTCAATTCTCACTCTCCTTTTCCTCTTCTCTTTCATTCTCTCTCTCCATTAGTCCGTCTCTTAACTACGAACCCGAAATCTCTTGCCCTAGGTAGTTAACGGCACCTGGTAATCCCTCTCAATAAGTCTGATCTGGTCACAAAATTTGCACTCGGCCCACGGCATCAGACACAATCACAATCTGGAGTAATGGAAACCCATCCTGGTTTGTGACTGAATTTACTTTTCGATAATCGTGCAAAGGCATACGGTTCCATCGGCTTTGGGACAATAAACAGGGAGAGGCCCAAGGTGTCACAGCTGGGTTCTATCAAATTAATTCCCAGTAATGTGTTTATCACTTGCTGAATTAATTCTTGCTTAGCAGGGAGACCCGGGGGGGAGGGGTAAAAGGGGATTGCTTTAAGGACTACTTCTAACAAGTCAAGTATCGTAAACCCAAGGACAAGGAGTAGGGAAATCTTTTAAAGATGGAGTTATTATTAGTGATTAACTTCTTTAATTTGAGATTTTTGAGGGGTAGGAAGAACTTCTAGGAAATGGTCTAGTAGTTTCAAAACTTCTAATTATGTTAGTCAAAATTCTCTTACTTCTCTTACGTCTCATTCCTAATTTCGTTGTGATGTAGTAGAAATAAAGGTGATATTAGTAGGGAGAAGATTAGAGTCATACTTCTTTAAGTTATCTATGTTGTTATTTTTATTATTATTATCACACTGGCGATTCCCAAGGCAAGGGTGGCCCAAAAAAGAAAAACTTTCACCATCATTCACTCCATCCTGTCTTGCCAGAAGGGTTTCTTTACACTACAGTTTTTTAAAACTGCAACATTAAAAACCCCTCCTTCAGAGTGAGGCACTGTACTTCCCATCTCCAAGGATTCAAGTCCGGCCTGCCAGTTTCCCTGAACCCCTTCATAAATGTACTTTGATCACACTCCAACAGCACGCCAATTTATTAAAAACCATTTGTCTCCATTCACTCCTAATCAAACACGCTCACGCATGCCTGCTGGAAGTCCAAGCCCCTCGCAACAAAACCTCCTTTACCCCTCCCCCCAAAACCTTTCCTAGGCCGACCCCTACCCTACCTTCCTTCCACTACAGACTGATACACTCTTGAAGTCACTCTGTTTGCTCCATTCTCTCTACATGTCTGAACCACCTCAACAACCCTTTCTCAGCCCTCTGGACAACATTTTTGGTAATCCCCACCTCCTCCTAACTTCCAAAACTACGAATTCTCTGCATTATATTCACACCACACATTGCCCTAGACTGACATCTCCACTGCCTCCAGCCTTCTCCTTACTGCAACATTCATCACCCATGCTTCACACCCATATAAGAGCGTTGGTAAAAACTATACACTCATACTTTCCCCTCTTTGCCTCCAAGGACAAAGTTCTTTGTCTCCACAGACTCCTAAGTGCACCATTCACCCTTTTCCCCTCATCAATTCTATGATTCACCTCATTTTCATAGACCCATCCGCTGACACGTAAACTCCCAAATATCTGATACATTCACCTCCTCCATACTCTCTCCCTCCAATCTGATATCCAATCTTTAAATCACCTAATTTTTTTTGTTATCCTCATAACCTTACTCTTTCCTGTATTCACTTTTATTTTCTTTTTTGCACACCCTACAAATTCATCCACCAATTCTGCAACTTCTCTTCAGAATCCCCCAAGAGCACAGTGCCATCAGCAAAGAGCAACTGTGACAACTCCCACTTTTGTGGATTTTTTTATCTTTTAACTCCACGCCTCTTGCCAAGCCCCTCGCATTTACTTCTCTTACAACCCCATCCATAAATTATTAAACAACCACGGTGACATCACACATCCTTGTCTAAGGCCTACTTTTACTGGGAAATAATTTCCCTCTTTCCTACATACTCTAACTTGAGCCTCACTATCCTCGTAAAACTCTTCACTGCTTTCAGTAACCTACCTCCTACACCATACACCGGGAACATCTGCCACATTGCCCCCTATCCACCCTGTGATATGCCTTTTCCAAATCCAAAAATTTGCCACAAAGACCTCTTTAGCCTTATCTAAATCTGTTCACTTATATGTTTCACTGTAAACACCTGGTCCACACCCCCCCTACCTTTCCTAAAGCTCCTTGTTCATTCTGCTATTCCTATTCTCCGTCTTACTCTTAATTCTTTCAATAATAATCTACCATACCCCTTTACCAGGTATACCAACAGACTTATCCCCCTATAATTTTTGCACTCTCTTTTGTTCCCCTTTGCCCTTTATAAAAAGGAACTATGCATGCTCTCTGCCAATTCCTAGGTACCTTACCCTCTTCCATGCATTTATTAAATAATTGCACCAACCACTCAAAAAACTTATTCCCCACCTGCTTTTAACATTTCTATTTTATCCCATCAATCCGGCTGCCTTACCCCCTTTCATTTTACCTACTGCCTCACGAACTTCCCCACACTCACAACTGGCTCTTCTCACTCCTACAAGATGTTTTCCTCCTTGCCCTATACACGAAATCACGCTTCCCTATCTTCATCAACATTTAACAATTCCTCAAAATATTCCCTCCATCTTCCAATCCCTCTAACTCTCCATTTAATAACTCTCCTCTCCTATTTTTAACTGACAAATCCATTTGTTCTCTGGGTTTCCCTTAACTTGTTAATCTCACTCCAAAACTTTTTCTTATTTTCAACAAAATTTGTTGATAACATCTCACCCACTCTCTCATTTGCTCTCTTTTTACATTGCTTCACCACTCTTTTAACTCTCTCTTTTTCTCCATATACTCTTCCCTCCTTGCATCACTTCTACTTTGTAAAAAAAAACTTCTCATATGCTAACTTTTTCTCCCTTACTACTCTCTTTACATCATCATTCCACCAATCGCTCCTCTTCCATCCCGCACCCACTTTCCTGTAACCACAAACTTCTGCTGAACACTCTAACACTACATTTTTAAACCTCCCCCATAACTCTTCGACCCCATTGCCTATGCTCTCATTAGCCCATCTATCCTCCAATAGCTGTTTATATCTTCCCCTAACTGCCTCCTCTTTTAGTTATAAACCTTCCCCTCTCTCTTCCCTGATGCTTCTATTCTCCTTGTATCCCATCTACCTTTTACTCTCAGTGTAGCTAAACTAGAAAGTGTTCTGACATATCTGTGGCCCCTCTATAAACATGTACATCTAAAGGGTCTACTCAACAGTCTTTTATCTACCAATACATAATCCAAAAAAACTACGATGTCCTGGTTCATGGACCAGATAATTCACCTCATTTTCTTTGTTTACTATCTCATAGGGCCCCAAATATCGAGGTTTTAAAAAAATTGTCCTGGAATTAAGTTTTTAACTCACAAATTCATTTGGAGAGAATGAACTTTGATTTGGGTTTTTTTGGTCGTACGATTTCTTCATTTTGGCTTGAGTTCTGTCAGGTTCACGGCAGCTAAGTTTTTTAAATTTGGAGAGATGTTTTTTCCCAAAAGCAGAGACTGGGATAAAGGGGTTCCTCTCTTCCCTATCCAAGAATCTCGTAATATTGCAAGGGGTCCTCGTACTTGGTGTCCAAAAATCAGGTCAAATGGAGAGTATTTAGTACTTCTTGTTCAGCTTCACGGAGGGCGAAGAGAAGAAAGGGTAAACCTTCGTCCCATTCACGAGAATATTGCTCACAGTAAGCACGTAAAGTAGATTTAAGGGTTTGGTGGAATCTTTCTAGCACTCCTTGTGACTGGGGATGATATGCTGTAGAGAGGATCTGTCTCACTCCTAATCGAGACATAGCCTCTTTAAAAACCTTAGACGTAAAATTAGAACCCTGGTGAGATTGAATTTCACGTGGTATGCCTACTTGTGCAAAGAAGCGTATTAAAGCTCTTACTATATTTCTGGAATTAATTTTGGACATTGGGATAGCATCAGGATACCGTGTTGCCATATCTATGATAGTGAAGGTATACTGGTTACCCCTTTTTGTGCGGGTCAACGGTCCTACACCATCAATAACTAATCTCTCAAAAGGTTCTTCGATGAGGCCAAAAAAAATATTTCCTAATCTTCTTCTCGGTCTTACGGGATCCTAAATGACCTCCCAGTGGATTATCATGTGCTAGTTCAAATACCATATTACGTAAGGACGATGGCACCACTAACAAGTTTCCCTTTGAACTAGAGTCATTATCATTATTTCTCCCCCAAAGAAAACCATCCTCATCGAAAAGATAACCTTCCTCTTTATCCTCACTGGTTAAACTTTTATCGTCCTTTAGAGCTATAAGAAATTCTTCTTTATTACATTTTCTAGCTAGGTCCGCAGGGACTGGTAAAACATTCTTAGTGTCACCTGTGGGTCTTGACTGAATTGCTTTGCTAAACAGGAAGTTCAAACCTAATTCGTCTGAATTTCTAATGGCTGTTGAATATCCACATTTTTAGAGTTCTTAGCCTGGCTCTGGTGGTCACATTAAGGGAAATAAAATCTAGCCCTGCCTCGGAAGCTTTTTAATGCAAATTTATATCACAAGGATTATCTAAAACCAGAGGCTCTTTGGGTATCTCCAATTGATCAATTTCGTTCCCCATTAAAATATCTATGCCGGCAATGGGAAAGGTTTATCTGAAAGTCCACATTGATCCAGCCTACATATCCAGGCAGTTTACATAAATCCTTATAATAGGGACCTTCATTTTGTGCCTCCATAAGCCTCTAATAATACGTCTAGCCGGGGTTTATTACTAGTAGGTAACTTTACCAGGTTTGATCTTAACAAAGAGAGATAGCTGCCAGTATCTCGAAAGGTTGTGATGTTTACTAACCTCTCTTTACAGAGTCCCAACTTCCCCTTGGAAAAAATAGGGTTCCATAGCTGCTCGGACCTTTTCTTCTGAAGTACTATCGTGGTAAAGTCATCTATTAGACGGTCTGTTGACGAGGCCTATAAAGGTAAAGATTCTCATCCGAGTTTCATACTTCGAGAGGAATTTATTACCTGAGTTGGATATTCCCTCTTGGTTGGGTTTTATCTTCCCCCTGTTTATGCCAACATGGAACTGTCTATGACCTAACTTTTTACAAAAAAGGCACAGTGGTAATTGATCTTTAGGGTAATCCTGGGAAAGAGCCGTTTGTCACTTTTTTTTCTGAAAACACCTTCAAAGGTTCCCCCAGCTGGAGCTTTCCTAGTAGTCCAATTTGAACAAAACCTTGGGAGGCAGATTTCTTTTTCCGGGGTCTTAGACATTTCTACGGTTATAGCATGGGAAAATTTCAAAATGATCTGGTGGGCAGCTATCTAACAAGTTAGTAGTAGGGAAAAGTCAAAGATACGTATGAACCCTCTCTGGGAAATATTTAAAAAAGTCTTCATGCAATATCAGCTGGGAAAGTGATTTGACTGAGGCAGCTCCCGTGGCCTACGCCAACGCTCGAAAGCCCAGAGCTTTTCTTTGGCAAAGTCCACCCCAAGACTGTGAGGATATTTCTTCAGAGTTCTAAACATCTTTAAGTAAAATAACAGGTAATAAATGTTAGGGTTCGAAAGACAATCTTTTACCCGGTATAATCAGAATATTGTTCAAAAAGGGAAGTTTGCAGTTATGTTTGTGCTTTTTTCCCATTAAAAATGAATGTATTAAAGCAGCCCAATATTTAGGAGGGCCCTTGCATCACTTTTGCCTGATTTTCAAATGCCTCAAAAAATGAATTAAATATCCTCAGTAAATTTAGGCCCTTAAAGAGGCTGCTTACTAAGGTCGAAAGAAGGGATTGTATGCATATTACTCGATTCTCTTTTCTTCCTCAGTACTTCCCGTTCGTAAAGCAAAGATTGCGTTCAAATTCTCCCATTTTAGTTTTCTCTGGGCTTCTACAAAGGAGGTTTTGGGAAACTATAAAATACATTCTAGACGTTCAAAATTCTCCTTTGATTGAATAGTAGTCAAAAGGGCTACAGAGATTTGAAGTGGAACGTGTTCATCATCCAATAGGGCTTTCTCTTGTTCCATTTCTAAAACATCTGTAAAGGGTTTACCCCGGAACTGTTTCTTTAGCCTGATGGAGTTCTGCCCCCCATATAGTCCTTGGAGATGAACTGGAGTCGTTGTTTGCAGCGTAGTCTTTCCAAATATCGGGAAGTTGATGTCCGTCGTCTTTCCCGTAGGGGTTGTTAGCGTCGTTTGTTCCGGCCTCGGTGTTTTGTAGTAAAGAATTTAAAAAAGAAGGAATATCTGCTTCTCCATTTTTCAGTCTCTGGATCCTGCTCATCTGGAAAAAGGACATTCTGTATCATTATCTGACTGTCTGGGCAGTAAAATGTCTGTCGTAATTTTATGCCCAAGCTTGTGCTAATTTCCAAGAAGATTGAAGCTTCAAACTCTGTAATCTCTCCTTGTTAAAATCTTCAAACCTCTCTGCCATTTCTACATTCATTTTCAACGAAATTCAATTTTATGCTCCCGGACACAGACCCCCACTTGTTTACACTCCAAGGTTGTAAAACCCCTCAGTTTCTTTCTGGTTAGAGCATAACAAATTTGGACAGAGAGGTTGGGGTAATAATAGTAATCCTCCGGAAATCTAAATTTTTAAAGTAGTAAATTTGATACAACAAAAAGGCCCAAAAAAAATAATATACGAATTATCGTATATAAGTTAAGAATGTTTGTTGTTCTATATAGTCCAAAATAATAAGGCTTTTTATAACACATGATTAGGAGGGGATTCTAGATATAACATATATGTACAGAGATTACTTTGGTGACTAAAAGTCTTATTTCCCAATTGGAAGCAGTCAGAATAAACAGAATATGTCCAGGCTGGATAATCAACTTTGGCCAGTTACCAGAGACAAGAGGAGTGTTCTCGTTGGCTGCTACTTCTTCATGCTCGTCCCTCAACCTTGAGCATACAGGTCGGTGGGTCACGTGACTCACCAACACTCAGTAGAGTAGTTGACCAAAAAGGGAGGGAAAAAAGGGGGTGGTGTAACCCAATGAACACCACAGATTAACCATACACCAGTAACCGGGCGGAAGGCATGTTACTATACCTCAATTAAACTTATCATGGCCCTGTTACATAAATATTATAATAATGTTAATAAGAATAACCTTAAAAATTTCAAGACGTTCATTTCCAAATTTTGCTATTAAAGGAATAACCACAATGTAATATTAAAAGAAACCTTAACAATAGGGGCATGACAATGCTTCTAAATGTTGTGTTCTGACACCTCTGCAAAACAGTGATTATGTGTGAGTGAGGTTAAAGTGTTGAATGTGATGAAAGTATTTTTTTTGGGGGGGGGGGATTTTCTTTCTTTTTGGGTCACCCTACCTCGGTGGGAGATGGCCGACTTGTTGAAAAAAAAAAAAAATCACTCAAGGCATGCAATAGCTAGTAAGGCCCTTGTGGGCCTCTACAAGCTGAAACATGCCTCTCAACGCACCAAACTACACCTCTACAAATTCCTAATACGTCCTCTGATAATTTACTCTCCTCTAGCCCTCTCTCTTGCAGCAAAAACAAACTTACTTAAACTGCAGCATGTCCAGAACAAGGCGCTGCGCTGGGTGCTTGATGTCAGATGGGAGGTCTTCGCCACAAGCGAGTCTCTCCATGCCCAATTAGACATCCCTGCACTGAATCTGTACTGGAAGACGCTCAGTGACAGACAGACAGACAAACTTGAGACATGACATAACTACTGGACCTCTCTCCTTGACGAAGACATTCGCAGATCCACAAATCAACACAGCATTTTCTACTCCTTGCATGATCCTGCTCCTAACCCTGTTTACAAATAACCTTGGATTCAATGACAGGTACCATTCTCTGACCCACGTTCGCCTTAGCTTTTGGTTAAGACATAGCTCAGTTCTACACTCCTCTCTGGCACTGGCAGAGGGAGGCACATGTGCAGTGTATTTCACAGATGGTTCTGTTGACCCTGAAAGGAAGAGAGCAGCAGCTGGACTGTACCACAATGGTCACACACAAGGCGGGCAACTCCCTGACCACTGCATGATCCTTCAAGCTGAGCTGGTGGCAATTCAGCAGGCATTGTCACATGCCCTACGACATCGACTCCGACCTGTCATACATGTCGACTCCACCTATGCAATCAATGCCCTCTCCCATCCTCAACCACGGGGCAATGTTCTCATCGCATCGATCCTGAGCATAATGACAGCCTTAGAGTTTCAGGGTAATAGATCGACATTGAACTGGATCGCCAGCCATGCTGGCATCCAGGGAAATGAGGCGGCAGATGATGCAGCCAAGGCAGCCACAAAGTATCCACATGTTGGAATTACTGTCTGTCCCCATCAGCCTACAACAGACCATACTGATGGCTGCCAGAGCAATGAAACTTATGGAGGAGGTCTTAGGTGATTCCCCATCTCTATAGTGGTAGTGAGCAGTGACTCAGGGAGAACCCCCTCCGTATGATAGAAGCTGGTCCAGAGCGCACTGTGCCGCCATCCATTGGCTTCGTTTGGGCTTTCCCACAGCCACGATGATGGTAGACAAGGCTGAGGAGGAGATGTGCCAGTACTGCCAGCACATTGTCCAGCGCCCCTTAACACACTATTTTCCGGAGTGCGAAGTTACCGAGACACTCTGCAGGCAACTAGCACTGATATCCCCTCCTGAAGAGGACCCAGAGATGACTGCGGTTACACAAGTGTACCATGGAGTCAATGAACCAGACAAGCTGTTGCCCGTGATAACGACATATCCTCCTCTTCGCTAGTGTCCACAGTTAGGAGTACATACGGTGCTGTCGCTTATGAGATGCATCAGTTGAACTGACCAGAAGAGTGCTTGAGCAGCATATGTCGCATCATTGTAGAAACCTTTCTCCCTCGGGAGCCAGAGGCAGGTCATCACAAGATTGAGACCTGTGCCAGGACTATGGTCTTGGCGAACATTATACATACATACTTATTTCTT